TTATAGTCAAGTTTCAAGCAACAGGATGGAGGAAAAAAAGATGCATTACCTCCCTTTTTAAAAAATTTCCTCCCCTTTAAGGAGCCTTCTCAAAATTCCCATATGACTTGACTCTCTTACTTATTTAGGCACGTGACCCCCACCTAGCTGCAAGGGAGACTAGGGAATGTCGTCTTCTAGTTATTCTGAGCTCTAGCCAAATATGAATACTCGTTTTATGTTTTCTGCATCTACTCCTATAGTTCTCCTATTCTTACACTTTGGAATGCCATTTTTCTCAGTATCTAAATCCTACCTTTCCTTTAAAGTTTAGCTCAAATGCTACTTCCTCCCAAAGTCTTCTCAATGAATCTCTCCTTGTAAACTCCTATCTTTGTGTACATACAGGTTGCCCAGGGACGGTGTGACATATACTCTTAATGGATATTTATTGAGTGAATGCTTAAATTACTCTATTTGGAAAGAGGAAGCAATTTTATTATGTTTATTTTCTTATTTTCTTGAAATCCTTCATAGAGAAAGGATTAGAAAGATATTTTAAACTAGTTTTTAATAAAATTATGAATTAATTTTAAATTATATAGACTCTAAAAGTCATTGAGTTAAAGTTTATATCTTAGCGTACTCTATTAATAATTAAGAAATGTATTTTTAATGCATTATTTTCTGGATTTTTAAGGAAAACATTTAAATAAGTTTGGCATATGTTATTTGCAGTGTAAATGCAGTTTTTTTGCAGCCTAGATGTTTGTGTTTTATTACTTTTAATTACTTTAGAATAGTTTTAGATTTTAAAGTTGCAAATGAAAAATAAACTGTTAATGCTGCTTCCAAGGCCCAGTAACCTCCTCTATTAGACACAACAGAAAGTTTATTTGGAAGGTTAAAAAGTTGTATTTGTTTCTTACAGAAAGTTAGAAAAACAGAAAAACACAAAAGGAAAAAAAATTTAAATCGCCCATAATCTCACAACTGAAAGATAACTGGAATTAGTATTTTAGCATATATATAATTTTTTTATTTTATGTGTGATATATATGCTACTTCCAATAGCTTTTTTACTATTGCAAATAAAAACATGGTTTCGTTGAGTCTTTTTTGCTTATCTGTTTTCTTAGGATATATTTAATTGTTTGGTCAAAAGAGAGACTCATTTTTAATATTGTTCTGTATTTCCAAATTACCTATCATAAATGTGTCTACTATAAGTAAAACAGTCCCTATACATTTTCCAGTACCAGGTAATTAAAAGTACTAATTTTAAAACAAATCTCTCCAAATTTTATAAATAATCTCATTTATTTTTGTGGCTTTACATACCATCTATGTGCTCAAGGCTTTCAAATTTATACCTCTAATCTAGACCTTGTCCCTGAATTCCAGACGTATATCCTGCTGCCTGATTGACATCTCCACTTCGATATTTAATAGGTGTCTCAAAGTTGTCATGTCCAAAATGGAGCTCTTGATGTTTCCCAAAATAGTAAATACTACAGTTTTCCTCATCCCAATTAATGGAAAATCATCATTTTTCTCATACGCTGCTTCCAGTCTGTCATCAAATCTACCTCAAGTATATTCAGAATTTGACGACTTCTCACCAGCACCACTGTCATTATCCCGATTCAAGCCTCCATCATCTCTCATTGTTACTGTGACCTCATGATCATTCTCCTTGCTTCAGCCCTGGCCCCTGCAGGCAGCATTCAGTATAGCAGTAGAGTTGTTCCTGTAAAAATGTAGTCAGATCATGTCACTGCCCTGCTCCGAACCCCCCAGAGATATCTTGGTTCATAAATACCTACAAGTCATTATACCATCTCATTTTCTATTACCTCTCTTCTTCTTCTACTCTCATCTCCTTCCATTCTTCCCGTTTCTTCTCTATTTCTACCTCACTGGCTTTCTTGTTGTTTTCCCCTAACTTGCTAGGCCTCCTGCCGCTGTTGCCTTTTTCTCTTAAAGAGACACTCTTCCTATCAGTTTTACTCAAAAGTCTCTTTCTCAGGAGGCCTTCCCCCACATGTCATTCCTAGCTGCTTTTGTGTTTGATTTATTTTACTGCTTATTCTTATTTTTGGTCTGTCTGTCCCTCCAGTATGTAAGTTTCATGGAGGAAGGGAATTTCGTCTGTTTTGTTCACTAATAGAACCTTCAGTGCCTACAGCATAAAAACTAATGAACATGCTGGTTCATGTATTCATCAATCATTCACATTTCTGCCTTTTTGAATTAATTGCTCATTTTTTATAGTTGTCTTTTGTCCTAATTAATATATAATAACTGTATATTAAGGATATTAATGTTATATTTGTTTTATTTTTGTAACGACAAATGTTATTTGACAAGGCATCAAATTTGTCATTTGCTAATATTTTTTCATATTTTGTTTGCCATTTAAACTGTATTGAAAAGCTATGAAATTTTGGAGAGAGATACACGCGCACACATTTTTTTAAATAGCTTCTCTTGAGAGTGCTCTCACAGCTCTGCACATCTTGTAATCAAAGACATTGTCCATGTAGACTGTCTTTTCAAGGATGTTTGCATAGTAGATATCCTTGGAATATGATAACTGTGTCTCCCTTAGGAGTATGGGCAGGCATGCTCACTGCCTGCTATAAGAAATTTGGGTTCCCTAAACTCAGGTTCATTCTTTTGCAATGCATTTGACTGCATATGCAGTTGCCACCTGGCCTGTTTGGGTTGCTCTGTGGGAATTGGGGCTCAGGAAACTGACACAAATGCTGACAGTCTTGCTACTCTTATTGCTATGAGTAATAAGTCCCCTGTCTCTGACCTAGGAATCTTGTACTTTCTGTTATAGCATCTATGAAATTGCAGTAGGCTAACTAGTAAGCTTGCAAGGAAGATAATATCTCAGACTTTTACATTTCTCCACATCTTCTTTTAATTTTATGCTCTTTAGGACTTTTGCTATCCTGAAATGAAATACAGTTTTACCTGAATTGTCTTTGAAAATTTTTAAAGTTTTTATTTAATTTATTTGATGCTTCTTTAGTTGGGCTGAGGCAGGTAGTCAACCTATTTTTTTTCCTAACAAACAGTTATTTTATTGCCATTTATTTAGTTGTCCATGTTTCCTCCATTGATTTAAAAATCTAACCTTTATCATGTACTAAGTATAATTTTTCTGTATTTTTCTTTTCCAGTAACCTCTATATTCTATTGATTTTTCATATCTAGGAACATTTCCAAGTTTTTTTGTCAGTAAATTTAAAAAGTTTTAAAAATCATATGTCCTGTGTAAATCTTAAGAAGGTTGTTCATAAGTATTAGTC